ACACTATAAAACCCTATTCGGAGTAGTATTTGGAGTTCGCCAATCTTTTTCCTGAATTCGGTGTTTTTGCCAACTTTTTTGTTAGTGGTCCAAATGCATTGAAATTTGTATTATGAGCCTGCATTGTCTGTTCGTGAAATTTTTGACGACATTGCTTGTGGTGGTGCGGCGAAAAACACCGAATTTTTGGTCTTCCATTGACCATCTTTCCATACCCTAAGGCACATACATATCACACAAAAAAACAAACAACAAAAAAAACACCAATTCGGGGAAATATGGCAGTTTCTGTGAAAAATCCAGAGAAAATGACACCACCTATTAACCATATGTGGGTTCAGGTGCAAAGCTTGCCATATGAGACCCTTCCCCCAGGAAACCTGGTCACAAGGCTCCAATGTGGAAAAGTTGTTCCCAAAAGAACATAGAATAAACTTAATAGTGTTGATGTCGCTATGGAAAGCATTCAATTTGGACTATTTCTCTATTTATGTGCGTCATCCTTGAAAGCGTAGGGACCATGCTAATCTTCTCTGTATCGTTATAATTTTAATGGAAGTCCCGAAGGACAAAGCATTAACTTTGGCCCCAAAGTGAATGTCGTGTTGTTTGGCCTTTTGGATGCTCACCACCAGCCTGATGAATAGGTAGTTTGGACATTGAGTTCGCGTAGTAGACCTGGTTGCCCTAATATATTGCGATATCCCCCTATTAGCAGGGATTGTGGGTTGGAGTGCGGGTGTGCCAGGAGATCTATTGAGAGAGGTGGTAGGAGGGGAGTCTCTTGAGAACGTAAACGAAAAAAGAAAAAAGAGAAGAAAAAGGAGGGACTGCGGGTTTTCTAGAAAGGGTGAGTGAATGAATGAGCAAAAAACAAAAAAAGAAAGGGTGAGGCTTGACCTCAAAATCTGGTCGAGGATCGCTCGGCCTCCGTGTTCGAACTATGTACTGCCTTGGGCATTGCGACCCCTTTTTAAAAGAATTCCCGCTAAGATAACAGATCCAGCGGTGGGTGCTTCTACATGAGCTTCAGGTAACCAAATATGAAATGGTACCATAGGTACTTTCACTCACTCAAAGACTAAGAGGCAACCGTCTACTAAGTAAGATGCGATTTGATTTGTAGTAGATGGGAAAAGCCCGGCCTGGATCTTATCTTCACTGGCGATGTGTTTGATTGAGTGCAGCAAACATCAGTTTAGCATTCAGATCAAGCAGATCGAACACAAGGTTAGGCCATATGCAAAAGCACACTACTCAGGAGATAGATAGAGAAAAAAAGAAGGAACGAACAAGACCGGGTGCAGGTAAATTGGAAAAATACACCATGAAGCACAACGTTGTCAGGCGAAAAGACCCCACACCGTGTTTCTGCCGGTCGCCTGTCCGGCGTCATCAGGGGTCTAGCGCAAGAAACAGCTAAAACACTACATACATATATACCTATCTATATTAACTATTCTAGTCAACTATAGGTCCTAGGTTCTAAAAGAATCATAATCAGGTGGGACAAGGTCTAGCCGGTGCCTTAAAAATAAACCAGATTCACTCAATTGATAACCAACCTCGTTCTTTCAAGTCCTAACAGGTCGATAGTACTGGCCTAGCGCTACAGGCTGTGACAATGAACACAAACCAAGACAAGAGACCCTGTTTCAAGTCTCAGTAGCTGCCAAAAACACCTAGCCTAACTCACAGACCATCGTACCGGTCTACCGGTCAAAAAAATTTGAAGTAGGAGGTCCCTGGTTCAAACTAAGGGACTACCGATACTAGGGCAAAAACAAACAGATTAACTAAGGACCACAGACAAACAATCAATGCTCGGGTCACAACATGGTTTAATGTTTCCAATTAGTAAAACACAGGACCCAAGGCCTCCAACGGTTATCCATCCGAGCGGAGAAGTTTATCAGACACTGATCGAAATAGTAATCCGAAAAGTCTCTAATCTCTAGTTCAAACTTCAATGTTAACAAAAAACAGGCCTCGACCCCTGACATTGTTGTCAAAGCTCTTGCCCTGTGTAAGTAGGCAGTAATCACAGACGTCTTCTGCTGCTTGTCCGTGTATGAAGAAAGTCCTGTAAATTTTGAAACACCAACCCCTGGTCGATCACGTGCCGCTCATTCTTATGGAAAGATGCACATAGCACTCTGCATGGTTCGCTAAACACCTTAACAACACAACCCAGAGAATCCCATGATTCATTGGCGTTGGTCAGCTCCAACACCAAGTTTTTATCATAGCAATGTTTGAACAACTCCAGTGTCCTCTCAGCCATTATCTTATAATACCTCGATCCCTTCTGAAATTTAAAAAAAACAGACATGTCCTCCACGAGTCACATCCCAAAGAGTAGTCATCGCTCACTACCCAAATGTCTGAGAAATTCGTACTCATTGAACGCGCACAACAGACAGGCCAGAGTCGAGCTAGATGGTTTTCCCATAGGTATGCCCACTTTCTGCTGGAGAAAAACCTCCATAGCCAACATATAGGTGTTATCTAAATCGAATACTACCATCTTCACAAGTAATGAGAATCTAATGCGTCGAAACCGAGCAGGAACCGTTCTACGTTTACCCAACATGCCACCTTTACCTCTGATTTTTACAAATACATCAGAGAAACCTTTCTCCTTGGACGTACAGGTCAACCACTCAACAACTCTGATGATTGACGTGTGGGGTAATGCAGTGAACATCTCCTTCACATCAAAGCTTACGGCAATAACCTCCTCATCAGTCTTGATGAAATCGTTGCAAGAGGTAAGTCGTCTGACCATATCAGATGGACTTTTCAAATTGAAGTGAATTTTTTCCGGAAGGTTCCATAGCAGTTGATTTACAGACTTTGACACAGTTCTACCCAAACGTACCAGAGGTTCAAAGAAAGATGGGCATATTGGTCGCCACTTAGCGATATTCTTATGCTTCAGAATCCCAAAGGTTCTTCCTAGTTCACCCTGACGACTGAAAGAAACAGATTTGTGCAAACCATTCATCAAAAATTTATTACGAATATCTCCGATTACCTACAACTCATCCCCTTCGACCAAAGCAAAGCCTTTATTTTTAATAAACAAGGTCTCCATCCCCTTCCTATAGATCGTCGGCCAACAGACATAAGAATCACCGGGATTATGGTCAATAGGACTAACTATCAAATTACTCAGTTTATTCTTTAAAGCCAGTACATCCGCCATACCGTCCCCGACAACCGAACCCGGCATGGCATTACGAGTGAAACATCCCCGGAGATCACAATCGGAAATAGAAAAAATACTAGTATCATTCTGCACGCTTTTCAGATCCTCCATCACATAGCTCCTAAGTCTTGCAAGATTATTCTTGAACCCAGGAAATAAAACGTTCTTACCATTTTTTGCAATCCTAGGCACCCAATCAGTCTCACTAAACCTGAAAGATACGTGTTTGTCCGTTCTAGGAAAGTTAAATTACCAACAGGTACACTCGCAGTTTTTTTGCCGCACAAAGGCCCGAAAATTGTACAGAACATCCCCAACCGACTTATTTTTAATCCAGACAACCCTCAATTTCCTACACATGATCTCCTTTAACGGACCTTTAGCAGAAGAGCATCTAATAGCAGAAAGACATTGGTTCTTAACACGTTTCTTAGACAGAGTAGCATCAAACGAAATACAAACAGTGACCCGAATCCTAATTTTGATATCGAACTTACTTTTCAACACACGGGCTATTGTCGTCCGCAACTTTGTCCTGGTTTCATTTCTCGAAAAACATCTAACACAGCTATATAGTTGTACAAGCCTATCAAGCGGCTCGCGATACAGCTTCTTGCAAGCTGACGGTTTCCTCAAAAGTTCACCCAGCCTGAACTTGTCTTTCTCAAACCGCAAACAAAACCTCGAAATGGTCTCAAAGACCAACTCAGCGCCTGCTACCAATAACCCGCTACAGTGTCGTAGCAGCTCGATCCTCCCTCCACACCTTACCACAAATGATCCATAGCATCTCTTAGTAACCTTCCATTTCTCGGCCAGCAAATCGCCACCAAAGCACTTAATCGTAATGGTTTTATCATGTCTGTTGAAGCATTCATCAAGGATACAGCGAAGGCTAGTTGACGCATATCCTAAATCGGATTGGAACAGAAGGAAGGATTTTACCTCAGAATTAACTTTCAGTTTTCGTGCTCCCGAACGATCACTCCGCCGTTTCCTCTCCCGGTTACCCGCTCTCTTCCTTTTACCACGTCGTCCACCACGAGTCGAAATAGAGTTCAAAACAGGATTGAAGGTACGAATAAAAAACGACGCAACTTCCAATTTTCGATCCAAACACGAAACAGCAATCGGTATGGCCACGTAACTTCCGACCTTCTCCCGACATAACCATCGGTATAATCGATGGTTCCTGACATTGGTGCTAAGTGGTGCATGGGTACGATAAAGGTGTTCGTTCCATCTACAACCCAACATTCGGGACGTACATTCTATATACAAATGTCTACACCATGGAGAAACCAACGCATAGATCAGAGGGCTAGGACAGGAGATGAAATCGTAGTTAACAGAAAATAAATAACGAAGGAACGGAATGAGTTTGTTGCACCAAGAGAATTGTCGTAGTAGAATCAGGGAAATCACCGCCAATCTAAACACACTATCGATCTTACCACCACGTTGAAGTCGTCGACTATCGCGCGCATGCCAATGCCAAATCGCCAAGTTCACCGACGCTCGGTGGTCAGTCCTAACAACCAGTCGAGGTGCCATCCTCATCGTCCTCTTGAGGTTCACTCCTTCCCGCCAAATCTCTCGATCCCCCAGAGTTCTCCGCTATCTCGATATTGTCGGAAAAAGTCGAGACATTCAGTTTCCCGAAAGCGCGGTCCGTATAGATGTTAGTGATATCTGCCGCTAATGCTTTAATCGTCATGTATTGCACCTTTTCCTCTTCGCATAGCGATTCAATCTCCCTTTTCTTCAATTTCGACCACTCGGTATAGACCCGTTTCCTGAAGTCGTCTCGTCCTTCGTTCTTCAGTTTGATGAACTGAACGTTTAGCTGCCCCTTCTTACTACCTTCACCAGTCGCATTCGTAAGTTGGAGGGTGGTGATACGCTTTTACGTAAGATCCTCTTCCTCTTGATGCTGGACGGGGTAGCAGTCGCGGATCCGATCTTGGCAATCCTCTCCTTTAGTGCTTGAATTTCACGCTGAGTCATGTCCCTGTCATCGCGAATTCTTTGATATGCTTCAGCCAGTTTGACATAGTCGGCAGGAGTAGGCTCAACCGCTTTAGCCGCCAATGGGGATGGGCTCGTAATCGTCGCCGCCCCAAATGAAGTCTTAGTAGCCTTAGCAAGGTCGTTCACCTGCTCCTTCAATCTAATAACGCCCTCGATCAGTTGCTGATTATTCATGCGTAATGATACCAATTCTTGTTCCGATTGATGTGGTCGACAAGTTTGCCATGGCATCTCAGTCATCGCCTCCTTTAGTTTCACAATCTCCTCTTCCTTCTTTCGAAGTTCCTCGCGCTCCTGATTTTCCTTCGCAATCGCTTCCGTACGTCGCCGGATTTCGGTCGTCGTTGCAGCCACAGGTCGTTCGCCTTCAACCACTTTCCTCCCCGGGACTTCTTCACAGACACTCCTCATCTGACTTTGCACCATCAACCCAATACCCGCCTTAAATTCCTCTTTCTCCTTCGCATCAGCTAAACGCCTTTCTTCCTCATCCTTCTTCCTCCTATCTTCCTCCACCTTCTTGACAGCGATCTCCTTCTCTTTCTTATTCCGCTGTCTTTCCTGCATCTCTTCGGACATCCAACTCCACATTCTCTCGACCTTATCACTCTTGTCGTAACGCTCCGGGTACCACGGTTGCCGATAATTGCTATTATATCCGCCGTAATCACCACCATATCCTCCGTGGTAACTGCTATTACCGCTTCCAGTCGCTTGGTTACGAACATCATTAGACGTGGATGGTAAGGGACGATCGCTCCTAGAGCCGATGGAACAGCTGTGGATCCCGAAGTCGACGCTTGAGTGCCATTGGCCTGCCTGGCCTGCTGCTCCATGTCCCTCATGCGTGTTCGACAATCCCGAATAAAATGCCCAGGACGTCTAAAATAATGACACACCGGCCGATCCATAGTAAACAAGGAATGAAAAGAAAAAGAAAAGAAAAGAAAAGAAAGGAAAGAAAAGCAGTAGGTAGAGAGGGATAGAGTAGGATAGAGAGATCGCATTCACACAACTGTAGTACTATTGCTACGATGGTTCATGCGTTGACTAATGCAGCAAACATTGGTCTAGCATTCAGATCAAGCAGATAGAACACAAGGTTAAGCCATATGCAAAAGCACACCACTCAGGAGAGAAAGAAAGAAGGAACGAACAGACCGAGCGCAGGTAAATTCAAAAAATACACCATGAAGCACAACGTTGTCATGCGAAAAGACCCAACACCGTGTTTCTGCCAGTCGCCTGTCCGGCGTCATCAGGGGTCGTAGTACCTAGCACAAGAAACAACTAAAACACTACAGACATATATACCTATCTATGTTCACTATCCTAGTCAACTATAGGTCCTAGGTTCTAGAAGAATCATAATCAGGTGGGACAAGGTCTACCTGGTTCTTCAAAAATAAACCAGATTCACTCAATTGACAACCAACCTCGTTCTTTCAAGTCCTAACAGGTCGATAGTACTGGGCTAGCGCTACAGGCTGTGACAAAGAACACAAACCAAGACAAGAGACCCAGGTTCAAGTCTCAGTAGCTGCCAAAAACACCCAGCCTAACTCACGGACAATCGTACCGGTCTACCGGTCAAAAACATTCTAAGCAGGAGGTCCCTGGTTCAAACCAAGGTACTACCGATACTAGGGCAAAAACAAACAGATTAACTAAGGACCACAGACGAACAATCAATGCCCGGGTCACAAGGGGCGTCTTTGCTTTGGATGGATGTCTGAGTTTTTTTTTATATTTGACGTTAGTTTTTTCAACAAGCGAAAAAAAAGGGGGGGGCTTCAAACAAGAGAAGACAACCTTCCGGGCCCAGGTATCTGGGGTGAAGACCCTGATCAGGCAAACAATCAGAGCGCATTGGCTCTCTCGCTCTCACTCCCAAAAAAGTAGATACTGGTTCTCCCAGACTTGGGGAAAATCCAAGGACTTTGTTTCAATTTCTGGGGAAGGGGACTTGCAATTTGCCGAGTGGCTACTCCAGGAAAACAGTTGACGGAAAGGATGTAACTTTCATTCAGTTAGGCCGTGGATAGGCCACCGCATTTTGCTTGCTCTTAAACCACCAGTACCTCGCTCAGCTATTGAATCCGAGCCTCCCAGCACGCTGCGCGCCAAGTCCTGCCGAGCCGCCGTCGCAATTTTCTTTTTCGTTTTGCCTGCGGCCTCCAGCCAATGCGGTTCGTCAGGCCGAAGCCCAAATGGCGTGGCGCGTATACGGGAAGCGCCGGGACCGATAGCTGGGCCAGGTACTGGTGGTTTAACTAATGTGCTGACGCAGCGACTAGGCGTACGTAGCCATTTAGCTGCTGCAATAGAAGGCGAGACCTCCTTTTTTTATTTGGCCAAAGTAGGAACACAGGGTGGTTTTTCTGTCTCTTGGGATTGTAATATCTTATGGTTGGTAGTTTCTCGGGTTCTTATCGTTGACAATGGAGATAGGATGTTGTTTTAGTTCCAGGCTCTTAGAAAGGTTGGGAAAGGGCTACCTCCCTTCTCTGCGAAATGTTCCTTGTCCTTAGAATGGTAGATTAGATATCTAGTTAGTAGGATTGTTGTCTTTTTGGTAGACCGGGGGCTAGGTCCCACTTACACGAATTAAGCGATATTGATCGTAGATAGCAAAGATCAATGGCCAGAATCTCTCAATCCGTGCAAGTGGGACCTAGCCCCGGGTCTCCCTTGGGTCCTGTAAAAAGTGAAACTGGGAAAGGGTCCCAGAAGTTGATTCTCCGTGTTGAACTGTGAGGAGTTATAAGTTTGAGGATAGGTTGAGTGGTCTTGGGACGCTGGACCCGGTTTTCAGCAGGTTACTACTTGGTTCTCCGGGTAGAATTGTCTCTTTTTTTTTTGTTTTTTTTTTTTTGGAAAGCATATATCTTCATTGAAACAGACTGAGCCGAGGCCTATGTAGAAGTCAGGGGGRGSGGGTKTTTWCCCCCCCCCCCCCCYCYCTTTTCCTKTTTTWYTKTKYTTCAAGGGRGTATTTTTKAAAGCAATTTGGTTGTTAAAGGGACACTGGACCCGGTTTCCAGGTAGCAAAGGAGGTTCTCAGCGCTGCCCGTTAGGAAGTGGCAGCTGCCAGGATAACTCCGGGACCTCACAATTCAACCCGGAGACCTCACAGTTCTACCCGGAGACCTCACAGCCTAAGTAGTAGTCTGTGGCTGCCAGGATAACTCCGGGTTGAATTGTGAGGTCTCCGGGTAGAATTGTGAGGTTCCCGGGCTCGACCACTTGGTTTTGGAATATAAAGTGGCAGCTTTTAAAAAAAAAAAGAAAAAAAAGAAAAAAAAGAAAGGATCAACGGATACAACGGATATGGGGTTCTGGACAAATTCAGTTTAGCGAGGGACGATTTTTGGTTGACGCAGCGAGTAATGCGGGTAACGCTGGCCAATTGTGATGGTGTGACTGTGCGGGCAGGAATGCCGACCGACACACTGAGCGAACGACGGACTCGCTGGGAAGTTCGAACGACTGCTGCAACCGGGAAAGGTAGACAAGGGAGAGAGACAGAGGAGGGGGGGGGGGGGGGGGGGTGTATTTTTTTTTTTTTTTTTGGTCCGTACAATCACCGTCACATTTCCGGTTTCGGGGCAGTTCCCGTTAACATCCGGAAACAGCGGTATGTCAACCAAAAACAAGAATAAAAGGTGGTCCCGCACTCTGAACTCACGTCCTGTTCTGTTTTCCTTCGTTTATCTGAACTGCTTCTCTTTCTTTTTTGTCTTTGTTTTTTTTTTTTTTTTTCTGAATTGACTCCGGAGAGGGCAACGTCTCTCCGTTCTCCCCCGCTTTTTTTGAAAAAAAAAAAAAAAAACAAGTCTCTCCACTCCATTCTGCATCACTCTGTTTTTTTTTCTTTTGCCCTTTTTTCGGGGTAGTTCCGGTTAACACCCGCAAACATCGGGGCGTCAACCAAAAAACGATCCCGCGATGAACTCACGTCCTTTTCGGCTTTCCTTCTTTTGTCTGAACCTTTTTTTTTTTTTTTTTTTTTTCCCTTCTCGTTTCTGAATTGACTTGCACGGCAACGTCTCTCGTTTTGCTTTTTCTTTTTCTTTTCTGAGGGCATGCATACTCACACTAGGCCCTCAAAATCGCAAAATCCCAAGATGAGCGGCCAGATCTAGTCGTTCCTTTACAAGGTCTCGATCTGGCCGCTTATTTTGTGATTTTGCGAGTTTGAGGGTTTAGTGTGATTTTTTATTTTTTTATTTTTATTTTTATTTTTATTTTTATTTTTTTATTTTTTTTTAGTGTGAATTGGGTTGGATCCACCCGAGGCAAATGTTCATGTCAACAAAAAAAAAAAAAAAAAAAAAAAAAAAAAAAGTGTTCGTGTCGTCGGCGGACTGTTCCCGTCTTTTTGTCGAGGGAGATGCATACCTTCTCTCGGCTCAACGAACACATTTTCTGAATCGAATTGACGTTCACGTCAACGTCTCTCCATTGTTTTCTCTTCTTCTTTTTCTTTTTCTTTTTCTATTTTTCCTTTCTTTTTTTTTTTTGCCTGTCAATTCATCAGTTTCAACATCCCTGGGGCGAGGTTCAACTAGCAACCACTAGCAAAGAGGATTGGTTTGGCCTGAATCTGGCCGTTTTTCTGGACCGGCGTAGATAATCACGATCGATGTACTGTTTACAAACCACATCCAGATCCCGGGGCGCTTAAGTCAATCCATTTTGCTACCGGGACCTCAGTGATCTCACCGGTGCAACGAGGGATCATATTTACACCGGGATTAAAAGACAATCGGCCGAGGTCCCATCTGGACAGATAAACAGGTAGGCTGGGGGGGCCAACATGCATCCTCTTCATTGGAACCTAGGGCCCAACAACACTTCCTCTTCCTTCTTGTTGGTGGGGTTTTAAGGGGATATCATCATTGAATATACCGGTCCCAGGTAATTGTCCGAATTTCAGATTGATTTTGTTCTGTTCATCCTATTAGGGTTCGAGCTTGGGTCGGTTGTTTGTTTGTTTGTTTGTTTTTTTTTTTTTTTTTTTTTTTTTTTTTTTTTTTAATGGGTCTGTTATCTATCGTAGTAGTGCATGAGTCAAATGTTCGATGTATGTAGGAACTAATGTAAGTTGCTGTCTTTT